CTTTAAACACAATCCAAGTTATTGCAATGCCCGCATCTTCTAATCTCTGGCGAGTGTTATCCCACCAGTCCTCAGCCTCCTCTGCCAGCATATGCGTACCAAACTGTACCTGGTGCGCATCAGTGCATGCCATAACTCAGAAAATCTTCTCAATCACCTTCAGCCACTTCTGTGCACCATCAGGATCATGAGTACCCACAAAAGTCAGCGGATTGTTCCTCTAAAAATTACCCAAAGCACAGAACTCATCCGGAGGTACACCATTCTGAGCCATCACTTGGGCAAGTGACTCCAGCGCATCAGCAATAGCATGATCATTCCTTCCTGCCATCTACAACCACCAACAAGGTTAGAAGGAAACAACTCATCGATAGTGTCCTCACACTATCGACTGACAGGGGATTAACAACATAAACACTTGGCCGGACGGACCGACCTGCTCTGATACCACAATTGTAACACCCTTTTTCTACCCCAAAAATATCAAGGCAAAATAACACAGGAATTAGAGTGAATAAATAAATCTCATTAAAAATCCACTAAAAGGGCGTACATTTCTCAAAGTCATCAAAATAGGTTCATACTCCGTAACTACGGGTTTTTCCCAATATACATAAAAACATCATAAACAGCGGAATTCAAAACATAATTCAAAGTTTTCCTCAAAAAGGGAAATTAATCAAAATAACGTCAACAATATAAAATCAACTCAAGGAACCCAACCCGGTGTTACATATCAGAGCAAGACCCTCTAAGCTGACCAAAAGACTAAAATGCTCAAAAACTTCAAAACTAACTCCTCGTCGGTGTCCACGGCTAAACTGGATCATCTGCACGTTACCCATGTGGAGGTAACATTCAAACAGGCAGGGTGAGTAAAACAGTTTATAATAATCAATGTATAACAATTAATGCATAAACGGTATCATAATCATATTCAACATATTAATATCCTCAATTATGCCTCAAAGGCCACAACGTCATAATTTATATACAAAGGCTCATAAATGCAAATGCAACATAGACTCAATGCATGTGGTACCAATCATCACAGCGCGATGGACACTGGACCATCAACCCTCCATAGATCCCCATCAATAGGATCGGAGCACATCAAAATACTTCACATCCACACAGTGGGATTGAAGCTAAAGCAATCGAATGCACATGAATGCATGATGCACACGTCACAATAATAATCCTCACAATACAGCATATGGTGCATCATCATTCATCATACTCATCATCATCACATAAAATCATCATATCTCATGTTATCACATAGTTCATCAAATCATGGTAATTTCATCATATTAACTCAATCGATACATCATAGGAAACTATCATAACATCATGTACGCATCACCCAAAACCCACTGTCATACTCGGGGTAATTCATCCCAGAAATCCCAGAACTACACATCAAGGCATCGCTGCAAAACGATCAATTTCACGAACTCTCCTACATTCGTTGGCTCGCTCGCTAGGCGAGTTGGTAGCGAGCCTTCGCTGGCTTGCTCGCTAGGCGAGCCTGTAGTGAACCTTCGCTGGCTTACTCGCTAGGCGAGCAGAGCGATGACAACAAAAACCTGTTACGACCAGAACTAATTGTTGTCCAAATACTCATACGATTAACTTACCCAATGCCCTCAAAACATCATTAAAACATCCCCAATGTCATACGGCGATAACGGCACCAAATATATGGTTTATTAGGACAATCTGGCAACATTTGCACTGGCTAAATCACTATTCCCTGCAATTGCTCTGAGTGCATCAGAGTTACTCACATTTGAATATTTCTATTCCTACAGGGTCCAACATACAACTATCCAAGGTTTTGGCCACGAAGGCCTAAGGCTTCCAAATTCATGTTACATATCAAACAGTCCGATAAGGTTTCCTAAATTCATGTCAATATTCAGGGATACATGCCATCAATCATAACCTCAAAGTCTATTCATCAATTTCCCTAATTCTCCCAAATCAACCCAACATACCCTAAATCATAAACCCCACCATAAACACACCGAAAGGCATACATAGAAAATCATGAAATGCGATACTCCACATACCTTAGTCGATTCGCAGCTTTCACGATTAACCTCGGGATCTTCTGCCTCCAACCTTTCCTTCAGAGCTATGGCCACCAAACTTTCACGGTTAACACAAATGAATTCAAATTCCCTTTCAGAACTCTATTTTGTCCAACCTAGTCTTGGGCCTCACAAATTGGGCTTTTCCTTCATTACCCTTACTAACTCCCTCAAATGCCCAAATTGCCCTTATTTCACTTATATTCCATTTAATTAATAATAATACTAATAAATTAATATTATATGCTATTAATCAAATAAATACCCGAAAATGCACATTTTTCCAATATTCACAAAACCACCGAAAATTTACCGAAACATGAATATTCTCAATTAAATAATTAATTAACATATTCCGATTAAATTTGGGGTGTTACAGGTGGTGCCACGTGTTCGTCCACCACTTTTGTAACCTCCCACGTTCTCAGCTTTCAAATCTGTTTCTCGCTCAAATAGTTTTCCTTCTTTGTGTTGGCTTCTTTGTCCATCAGTCGACCTGGTCGACCAAAACCGCAAGCCAGGTTGGCTTCTTTCCCAACCTGTTGACCGGCAAGCCAGTCTTTGTGTCGCCTTTCTTTAAGCAAAACGTCTAGCCTACACTACCTTAGAGATGTTTAGCTACTTATAACGATACAATAATATACCAAGCAATAAGATGAAGATTGCATCTGAAAATCCTTAAAGAACTGACCTCCAATAGCTTTCAATCGCCCTCTTAGTGCTCTTTACCGTCACTTTCGGTCAAAATTCGCAGAACTCTTGAAATGATGCCAAAAACCCCCTTTTATAATTGTCAAATTAGTCCAAAACGCATCAGAATAGCCCCAGAAAAGGACCTATCGCATGCGTGATAGCTTTTATCGTGCGTGTGATACTGACAACACTTTTCTATCACGCGTATGATGTTGCGCGTGATTATTCTAGTAGCTGCACGTTTTTTGCTCCTTTTTCCATCAGATTTTCACTAAGTCCTTATTTCTTCATACTTCGTCCTTTTTGCATCTTTCTTTGAAATTTATTATTCATTTTTACTCCTCATTGACTTATTTTTATCTGTTTTTTTTTTTACTGAAAATATGCAATGACATAGTACCATCATTCACCGAGATTGTTCTTTCAAAAAGACTATTGGAGTTGTTTCTTCTTCTTCAAAAGAGTTCTTTGATGAAGTTGCTAGATATTCTTCTATGTTTAAGCCCATTCCTTCATCTTTTAATAGTCGAATCAACTCACTACATTTCTCGATGATTTCTTCCTTCTTGAAATTTTCTTGAAAATTATAAACATTATCATCTTTTGATATAAGGATTGGATCAGATTTTATGATTCTAATTCGTAACTAGATATTTTTTAACGAAGAAAATTCTAACATAGCTTCCAAAGTTTCTGAAGTTAGAAAACCATTTATAAAAGTTTCACATTTCAACTTCCAGTCTAATCCCACATAAATATAGATTTGAATTTCCAAATTATATGTCCATCGTATACAAAGAAAAAGCAAATTATTTGTGATGATCAATGAAATAAATATATATTATACGTAATTTCATATGATATTGTCCCTTTTGATGTTGAAATACAGTTGAATATTGTTTGTAAGTGAATATCATGATTAAGAATGATGGAGATTTTGAAAGGGTCGGAGGTTTTCTGTTTTAACATCAAAGAGTGTATGTAATACACATTCAAGGTAATGTAACGTTCATTTTTTAAATTGATTTTTCCAAATTACATAATCCGAATGGTTTATCCGAATTTCAAAATTCAAACTAGTTTTTAACTTATTGATTAAGAGATTTGTTGTGTAATTAGCATGTGTAGATTCCAATCTCTAGGTGGTACGAAAGGGTATTTTTGAACTTTCATTGAGTTATAGTCAGTGAACAACACTACATAGAATGTTCTACATCAGATGTAGCGAACACCAAGGAGGGAGAACTCAGCCGCGGCCCAATTCTTATTCCTAATACCTTGTGATCACTTTTTTTATGTTGAATCTCAACTGCTCATCTAAGTTCTTGAATGAAGTTTGTTCATGAAATTGAGTTAAAACGAGTTTAACAAACATGCTAACAAGTATTATTACTATTGATAGTCGACGGCGGTTCATTTTAGAAAGTTTAATATAAAAAAATCTACCATTTGAAGCCACAATAAAATGCAATGGCACATCAGTCCTCACAAATTGGCCATTGCAGATGTCAAGAAATCCACCACCAGCATCCATCAAGGCCGAAATTTTAACAAAACTCGATAGTATTATTAAATTATAGATAGGGTGAAAAAGGTGAAATCACGATGGTATAATAAAATTATAAATAGGGTGAAAAAGTTGAAACCACGTTATCCGTGTTAACTCTCCTAAATGAAAAAAATAAAAATAAAAGCCTAATTCAAAGACCAAATCTAATGCTGATATTGAACTATTTAAAGTATTCACGTTTCATACGCACAGTATTATAGTGATGTAATAGTGATGTAATAACCTTGCTTCTTTTATATGAAGTTTTTATCTTATGTTTTTTTCTTCTTCTGCATACTCATATTGAGGTATTTTCTAGATCCTTTTGGTGTGGAAGAGTAGTCGAGGATTTTGTTATGAATAGAAAAATTAAAACATAGGACAAAAATAGTGATTATGCAATGTAACAAATAATTGGCCGACTTCAATGTTAGATGACATTCAAAATATGCTAGGTGACAATCAAAATAATACAATTTGAACTTACTTTATAATACGCAGATATAATTTAACAGAATATTTATTCTAAAAGACAATTACTTATACATTGAGTACGCAAATCTAAGATGAAACAGCTCACAAAAAGGAACATTTGAAATTTAAATAAAAAATTGAAATTGTATCCTTAGCCGTTAAAAAGAAACATTTGAAATTTCTTGCACTCAGAAGTTACGCCTAGGCCTTTCCTCAGCAACATTCACTCTGATTGCCCTCCCGTCCAAGCTCTGTGATATCAAAAAACAACCTCACATGTTATCCTTGTAATGATTCAAACGTATAAAATCACAAATCCATGTTATGTTACCGATGATTAACTACGAAATTACTTCTGACATACCTCGCCGTCAAGAGCAGCAATGGCTGCATTTATTTCAGCCTCATTGGTCATTGTAACAAACCCAAAACCACGTGATCGACCTGTCTCTCGGTCATAGATTACCCGAGCACTCTCAACCTTACCATGTTCGCTGAAAAGTTGCTCCAGGCGAGTATTGTCAAACTCCCATGGCAAGTTACCAACATAGATTCGTAGACCAGATTCAACGGCACGTGGTACGCGTTCAGGTCTTGGTGATCCTCTTGGAGCGGCTTTATTAACAGTCAACGCTCTTCCATCTAGTTCCTGTCACACAAAGGATGGATTAGATTCAAATAAACTACAAAAAGCACAAAAGAGAAATTAGAGAAGAAATATTAATAATATATGGATTGCTTCATGTACTTTTTTTACATTCATTTGTTTGGGAAAAAGAGAAAAACCAAAACACTAGAAAGGCTTCCATATTCAAACAAAGTGATAGAAGAAAAATTTCAAAGACTTGGATTTCATTCTGTTATGCAGTAAAAAATGCATTAAAAAAAAAAAAAAAAACTCATCAAATTGCATGGAGGTCCCGATTGAAGACATAAAAAGATACATTAGCAAGTAGATAACCAAATCATCAAATGTCAAGATGAAAAAACTACCTATTACAATAATAGGTATTTCTACCAGCTCGCCACCATCAAGACCATGATTCTTGAGGCATTGTTAGAACAAGAAAAATATACAAAGACCAATCTCATTATGTCTAATAATATTTTTTTCATTCTCATATATACAGGCAGCATAACATCAATTTAGAGGTAATCAAATTGCAATGCTCCAATATCAATGTAAACAGTGTTCTCTATGTTAAAAGAATGAAATGAGATTGAAAAAGATGTTTTGAATTCTACAACTCTAAAGAGAAGAAAACTGTCAAATTATCTATGAAGCAAGAACACTGAAAACGTGACACCAACACTGACACATCGACACGAGTAATAAGTAACACACATTGCAGCTAGCATACAACATTAAGAAAACAATGTCATTTTAATTTACAACTGTTCCTGCAACCGAATAAGATGACACATCACAGACAACTACCATGTAGACATTATCTCCTCTCTTTTTCTCCCAGTTTCTTGAGAGATATTTTCCACTTCTCATCATATAATCAGTCACACACAAACATATATAAAGAGAAAAACTTACATAGCCACTGAACTTGCTCACAGCCCTCTCAACTTCATCAGCTGTACTCATTGTCACAAATCCAAATCCACGACTTCTATCGGTCTCCCTGTTATAAATCACCTGAAACCATAACACAAGCTTATAAATTACAAACCACGCAGTAAACATTTAACAAATCTCTACAACAGCAGCTACACACAATTCAGAGTATCCTCTACCATAACATAACATCAATTATTATACACAATGAACTCACAGACATAAAATCCAAAAATCGAAAAAATTCAGGACTTACCTCAGCAATCTCCACAGTCCCTGGAGTCTGTTCAAAAAGCTCAGCCAATTTCTCACTATCAACATCAAACGGCAAATTCCCAACAAAAATCTTCAATTCCTCAGACGGTTCTCCGTAACCCCCAACCTCACCATCACCTTCGTTGCTTTCAGTCTCGCTTCCCCATTTAGGTTCACCTTGATTCTCCCATGTAGCTCCATCTTCCTTCTCTCCCTGTTGAGCCCAATCAGAAGTCTGTGCTACGAATGTCAGCAACGAAGAATAACGGGTTCTTCTCTTGCCGGCAGTGAGGGAAAGAGAGTGCGAAACCCTAGAAGAATTGTACGTAGGGTTTTGAATTTTGAAAGGCTTGGCGGAGTTAGAGATGAATGAGGATTTGGTTTTGGTGTAGAAGAGTGAAGGTTGAGAGAGTAAGCAGGATTCGGCCATTGTGAGGGATTTGAAGGAAGTGATAGACATATCTGAATTTTGGGAGAGAAAAGGAAGTGGAGAACGCTCTGTGGTTGTTTGTGGATAAGGGTAAGATATGTAGAAATGAAAATGTTTGAAGTAGTGAGAGGGTTTTATGTTGGATTTGGTGATAAATTTTGTAAAAACAACAAAAAAATACCGCAGATATTATCGAAATATTTTTTTTTTGTCATGCTTTGTATATTTTACATTGGGCTTACATGTTTGTAATATGGGCTTCTCTATGATATTCAATTGCTTTGTATATTTTACATTGGGCTTACATGTTTGTAATATGGGCTTCTCTATGATATTCAATTGAGGAAACTCTGATATTCAAATTTTATACATGACATCCTCCAAACTTTTAATATTCTCAAAATACTATTAATATTATTTACTTAAAAGTTTTACTATTTTTCTAAAGAGGTAGGTGTCTAGCATCATGGATCTTTTCAAAAATATTATTGCCATGATGAAAATTCACCCAACAATAATACATTCAAAAGGATCTCTTCTAGGTGAGATTTTCGTATCGCCCCACGAGAAAGGCTCCTCGTGAGTCTCTACTACACAACCATCGAGTCCAAAGTTTCTAAAAGGTATCTCAGAGTCATAGATCGAGGTTGAAAATATTGTTGTTAAAATAACGATACTTTCAAGGGATCTCATCTGATTGGGGCGTTCGTATCAACCCAATAAGGAGTGACCCTTTATGAGCTAACACTACCAACCACCATAAAAAAATGTTGAAAGTTCCTTAGAGTTATAGATTCAGGCTCGAAAACATTATTGTCATGGAAAAGACTCACCACGACAACAACATCCTCAAGGGAATCAACTTTAAGCGGGGCTTTCGTATCCTCCCAACGAGAAAAGCTCCTCGAGGGATTCCACTACACAACCACCATTTGAATCCTATGTTTTTTCTTGGACTTGGGCATAGAGTCTTCTCACAAAGTACCAATAATCAGAGAACCCCAATAGTATCACAAGATACAATAATAGGATATAATAAGGAAGTAAGTAATAAATAATCAAACAAGCAAGCAATAGGAGAAGATAAACAAACAAGCGGATCTAACTCTCGCGAATCGAGTCAAGTTAGGCTTGACTCTATCTAGCATAGGGCTATGTAATTCCCCAGCAGAGTCGTCATCTGTCGTACCTCAAAAAATATGATCCTTGCGATGGACGCAGAAAAAAATGTTCGAACAGAGTCGCCACCGAACTTTATTCATTCCAAGGAAGGGATAGGAAAATATCAATAAAACCTTTAAAGATATAAGAACATGGTCATCGCAACCAAATTCTAGGTTTGGGAGTCGGTTACGCAAGAGGGAAGGTATTAACACCCTCTACATCCGTTGTACTCAACGGGAACCTCTTGATTTGATTCGAGAGAAAAGAGTTAGCTAGGTTGTTTGTTATCTTCTAATGATTCACTTCTAAGGGGAAAAATGAGTGGTTTTTTTTATTAGGGTACTCGCCAAGGATTGGGGCCCTTATGCCTACATACTCCCTCGTGCAATGGGAAAGTCAGAGCATTATAGTTTGTGGGACTACGGGAAAAGGTTTGAGGCAAAAAGAAAAAGGTAGCTCGCTAGGATCTTGCAATCCTATGCCTATGTATTCTCATTGACAAATGAGAAATTAGAGCTTATGTAGTTCGGAAGACTACGGTTGGTTGGTTTGTGTTTTAAACGAACGAGTGGGTCACACTCTAACTGCTAAACGTTGGCTTGTATGCTCGCTAGGGGAGGCTAAAACACTAGTTCATATGCGCGGAAGAAGGGACTAAACAATGTTCTTTAAGAAAGAATGTTTGAGTTGTGAATCACACGGGGGCGAGGAATTAGTGTCTTGGGAAGATTCAATCGCACGGGGCGAGAAAAGAGAGTTTGATGTTTTAGATATTTTGATAGAGGAGACGATTACCTAAAGCTTAAGAAAGGCTCATCGGGCCCAAGTAATCGAAAGAGCGGGTCAAAGACTTGACTCTCTCTCTCTCTCTCTCTCTCTCTCTCTCTCTCTCTCTCTCTCTCTCTCTCTCTCTCTCTCTCTCTCTCTCTCTCTCTCTCTCTCTCTCTCTCTTCCATCTCGAAAAGAGGTTGTGTTTGGAAAGCGTTTTGAATGATAGAAGATAGTTAAAGTATTTTAAATAGATGAAGATTACTTGAAGCTTAAGAAAGGCTCCTCGGGCCCAAGTAGTCAGGAGAATGTGTTAACGGCTTAACTCTCTCTCTTTTTCATCTTATATTATGAAAGAGCTTTGATATAGTTAGAGTGTTTTAAATGGATGACAATTACTCGAAGCTTAAGAAAGGCTCCTCGGGCCCAAGTAATCGGGAAAGTGAGCCAAAGACTTGACTCTCTCTCTTTTTCATCTTAGTATTCAAGAAAATAGATTTGGTTTAGTTTATCAGATTGTAAATATTTTAGATAAGACAATTGTTTGAATTTAAGAAAGGTTCCTCGGGCCCAAACAATTGAGGAAAGGAATCAAAGACTCTATTCCAACTCCCTTTTCATCTCTTATTGAAATTATGTTTAAGTATGGTTAAGTATATTGATTTGATTTGAAGAAAAAGCTTGATGTGAATCGAGGTTTAAGTTTGTGTGCGAAAGAGTGTAAAGGACTTGAACTAAATAGTTAGGAGATCCTAATGGTTTAGGGTAAGGTCGATGGCGAGGCAAAAGCGCACGACTTACAAAGAGGTATGGTTTGTACTTTAGGATATCGATAGGAGTAACTGATTTGAGTTCTAATCGTGCGCACTAGCAAAGGGGGTTAGTCTTCTAAATGACCAACTAAAAATAATTGATCAAATAGGTCTCACTATAAGGAAGCACAGGAGTAAGCATTGAATGTTGTGTATTGTGACCAAATTATTTTTTACTCTACGTTTTCACATTGTCTAATATGCGCATTTGAGTCGTTTTTACTCTACGTTTTCTCATTGTCTAATAAACTCCCTTATTTTGACCCACCATAATTTTTTTTTGTTAGTTTTGACCCAATGGCATGACATATTTAGTATGGGTTGTTTCATTTTATGATTTAGGCTAGGTAGTCGGACTTGGGAAAGTTTTGATTAACGTCGGTACCGTTCCTAAACCATAGAGTTCCTAAATATGCGATATTAGTTTGAATACATATTATACTGAGACCATGTTCTTAGTTTCTTTAGAAGTAGCCTCTTTAGTAGTTTATATTAGCAGCCAACACCATTCTCACGTATGAACTAAGTAATGAACTGATGCAAATATGTGTTGATCTCAGTTTAATGTATATATATATATATATATATATATATATATATATATATATATATATATATATATATATATATATATATATATATATATATATATATATATATATATATATATATATATATATATATATATATATATATATATATATATATATATATATATATATATATATATATATATATATATATATATATATATATATATATATAATTGTTGAATAAGAGATCAGATGACACAAACAAGTTCACTTACCATATAAATACGTAGGATAACAGGCTTAATGTGATTGCACTAGAATGAAAGAGAGGCGAATAAGAACAAAGTTCGTAGGTCAAGTTATAATATCATGATTTGAACCGGTATCGCATAGGAAGGAACTCTTTGTCTGCTTTTATGGAATCGTGTTGTTACGATGTCCTTGTTTTCATTATTTAGTACCTATTTGTATTACTTTAGCCTAGCGACCTTGTGCTTAAATTGTTTTTGTGGTTCCTATAAGTCGAACATTGTGCTTACTATTCTTATTCCATTAGGAGTTTGCTTGGAGACAGGCAAAAGTCTTAGTGTGAGGGAGTTTGATGACTCGATTTCGTATCGTTTAATTCGATTCAATTTGCGCATTGTCACTTGTTATTTTATCGAGTCTTTACCATTTTCTCTGTAATTTGCTTATGTTTTCCTTTGTTTTGCTTTGACAGGTTCCATATCAGTCATGTAGAAGAAAAGTATCAAAGTAAGCTGAAGAATGAAGGAAAAGTGAAGAAAATCACAAGTTCTGGCACATCCAAGCTGAATGGTGCTCTTCATGTGTCTCCCTTCATCCAGATGGCGCTCACCATGCTCAAAAAAGGGGAGAATTCTGATTCAAGCAAATGGTACTCGCCATTAGGAGACGGCGATCACCGTTACTAGCGGGAGCAGTTTTCAGAGGCAGTTTCTGTAACAGCCCAAATTTCATTAATTAATTAATTATGCTAATTAATTGATTTATTGGAATTAATCTTAATGACTTGGATTAATTGGATTTATTTGGTAGATAATTGAAGAGAGAAATGGGAAGGAAAGAAAATAGAAGTATATAAGGGATAAGTGGAAAGAATTGGATAGAAAGAAAATAGAAGAGAAAGAATAGAGAAAGAGGAGAAAAGAAAAGAGAAGAGGGAAACTTGGAGAAATCATCAAGAATCAACTTCAAGCTTCAATCCAATCAAGGTAAGGGTGAGAAACATTATTATCTAGTCAATGTATGTGGTTATGTATGTGTGGGGTGAGTTTTGTTGTGAGTTTCCACCATTTTTCAAGCTAGGGCAAAATGGATTTAATTGGTCGAATCGTGGTTTAATCGGTTAGAAACTGGAAATAATGTCGTAGAATAGTCGGGTGATGTGGGATTAAGATTACTGGAACTGGTTTGGTGAGAATCGGTCGATTTTTGGAGGGTAGAAGTTTTGGGACAGAATGAGGGTTCTGATATCGCAGGTTCGCTGGCTCTCGCCAGGCGAGTAAAGGCGAAGCTTCGCCGGGCGAAGCCCAGCGAATAGCTGGCGAATAATTCCAGAAAACTCCAAGTGGTCTTCGTTGGGAAGTTCGCCAGGAGAAGGTGAGTGACGAAGGTTCGCTAGGCGAGTACATTAGCGAAGGGTAGCGAATCAAGTCAGTAGCTACAGACTTTTGTTCGCTGGCGAGTTCGCCGGCCGAAGGTCCCAGCGAGCATTCGACAATGGCTTCGC